GTGGCGGCGGTGGGGGTTGCGGCGGCGGAAAGGGCGGCGGTGGCGGCGGCCGGCAGCAGAGCTGCCAGCGGGACAGGACTCTCAGCCCTAGCTGCTCCAGCGCTGTCTGGTACTCCTCCGGCAACGAGCTGTTGCAGCCAAACGCGTCCTCCCGCTGAACCCCCCCGGTGGGGGCCAGAAGCAGCGCACGAATCTCCGTGCCACACGGCACCGCCCCCAGGCTGGCAAACACATCAATGCTGCTCGCCAGGGCGGCTTGCAGCCGCCGAAAGGAGCGAGCGTAGGCGCGCGCAGACCACTCTGCCTTCACGATAACGTACGCCGTACTTTCCACAGCAGATGGACTGCCGACAGCGGCCATGGCGCCGTAACGCGCTTCGATAGGCGCCGCTGTTTCACTGGCGTGGCAGCTGTAGTTTCCCTCCACAAGTCCGTACGGCTGCGCCAACGTCTCGCAGGCTAGACGCAGCTTGTAGCAGGACAGCCGCTCCAGGGGCGCCATGACAAACAGTGTCAGCTGCGCGGCGGCAGTGGACCCCGGCGGCGGCGGGGACGCCCTAGGCGGCGAGGCAACAGGCCGCGGCGGCGGCTGCTCCAGAGGTGGCGGGGGCGGGTCCCTCGGTGGCGGCGGACTACTCGAATCTGCGCGCGGCAGCGCCGGCTGCGGCGGTGGCGGCGAACTGCTCCGCCCCCCCCCCGGTTGTGTGGGCCTTTCCGAGCAGCAGAGTGCGGGCAGGGTCAGCGGCTCCGAGCTCCCGGGCAGACTCAACATGCCGTTGCAGCTGTAGATGTAGACGGAGGCGGCGTCCTGCTCCTCAGTCTGCGTGGTGGCGATGAGCTGGTCGTCGCAGGGGACGCCGGCGCCAGCAAGGAACTTGCCAATGTCGGGGCCCTGGGGCCGGCCCATAGTGAGGACGGCACTCCGCGCGACATCGGACCTGGGCAGCACTGCACTCAGGATGAACCAGTACAGGTCCGGGGGGGGCTGCTGATTCGGGCTCTGGGAGCGGTTTTGACCTAGGGTTTGGCCTTCGCTGATCTGGAGCTGGATGTAGCACAGCTGGTTTCGGGAAAAGATGTTGGCGCTGTCCAGGAAGTCGGAAAAGAGCTTCTGCAGGTCGGCGCACAAGCTGAGCCGCGTGGCGCCCGAGAGTTGCATAATTGTCTCCGGCGTCTTGACGTCCGGCGGCGAGCTGGGAAAGGCAGGTGGGGCGCGGACGTCCGGCGGGTCCTGCGGCGGTGAGGACCCCGGGGGCCCCAGCACCTCCGCCGCCGCTGAGCCCTGCAAGAGAGGGAGAGCGAGTGGAGATTTGCTCAATGATTTTGAAGGAAGCACGTCAGCCGGGTACGATAAGCTGGTCCGCCGCTGCATTGTCATTAAACCGCGGTTGACTAGCACCCTAATAGCTACCAAGCCTTTAAGGAATCGCGCGGATGAATTAAGAAGGGACATTATGTAGCTCAGTGCTCGACCACGTCTACTTCAGCGGTCTGTCCATTCTAAACTTCAAAACCCCTTACGAGCACCCGCATCGCTGAGCGGCTACCCTCACAACGAGCTTATAGCTCCTTCCTTGCCTTTCGAAGTTGCCTGGCGCAGGCGTTGTACACAAGCATACCTTAAACAACGCCAGGAGCAGTAGCGAGCTGTGTAGCAGCCATTGCATTCCCATTCAACAATGACTTGTAAAAGTGTCAGATATCTTTAGCAGGGCACGCTCAGCGATGACCCAGGGAAATCTTGGAAATTGATGTGCTACAGGTACAGCTGTCTGGAAAACTCGCCAGCCAAAGGGAGCGACCCATGTAGTAGCTTTGGGATATAGTAACTCGCACAATTATCGCATCTATACGCTTTGCATCCTCAGTAGTAACCCCCCGGCAATGCTCGGGGGGCATTGAGCATCACAGGCAGACCTAGTAGTTGAAAAACGCTGCACCAGTGGGAGTTACCGTTTTGGAGGTACAACCTCTAACTATTTTACGAACCCTGGGACGAGCAAGGGAAAGCCGTACTCGCATGCCAACGGACAACGAATCTGAGGCTATCAATTGTAAGTCAGAGTATTGAAAGAGCCAAATGTTTGTGAGGTTGTTTTCCGTTGGTACTGGCTTACCTCTGCGGTCCTGGTGCTATTAGTGCGAAACGCACCTATCGGCGAAGGTTTTGCAAAGCCTGCAGAAGGCCTGGGATTTGTATTAAGATGCATCAGTGAACAGCGCTGGCCATTGCAGAGGTCTATGGGCCCTATTCGTACGACATTTTCCCATAGGCAGAACAAAGACTCCTCGTCGAAAATCGGAATTCCTCTTGCACTTGCTGAAGATATACCGGAAACATGGGTGAGCTCTCTAATAGGATAATTTACTTTGGTCCTTGCGCCGGCGGCCGCCTTACAGTGCTTTTCCACGCTCACAGGCAAGGTTCACGGTTCCCTCGCCCGCGCCGGTAAGGTGCGCGGCCAGACACCCAAGGTCCCGAAGCAGGAGAAGAAGAAGCGGCCGCGGGGCCGCGCTATGAAGCGCATGAAGTACAACCGCCGCTTTGTCAACGTTGGTGAGCATCTCTCGCAGCATTGGAGGGTTTGCGAGCCGTCCAGAGCATGTCTTGTCATAATATGCTTCCTATTTACGCAAGGATGCCCTGTGCTCAAAGATGCATGCTTGGGGTCTTTTCCCAACATAACGATGCTATTCAGCAAGTCGTTGTTGCGCAATTCGGTCTGGGCTTTCGTTCTGCAATTAACGGGTTACAGTATTGTTAGGCGGGCATACAGCGGTGTTAGTTTTTTACAGCGCATCTGAACCAAGTTGATTGCACACATACGGTTATGTTATGGTGTGCAATGTCATCATAACATGGTGCTCGCCCGCCCCTTTCGCAGTGGTTGGCTTCGGCAAGAAGCGTGGACCGAACTCGAACCCAGCCTAAACGGAATCAGTAGCGGAGGCTAGTCGATTTTGGAGCCGTCGTGCAGCCACTGGTTCTCCGGAACGATGGAAGTTGCTAGCATGCATCTTCAGTGGCGTCGCCATGCTGTGAACGGCCGCGCACGAGCTACTCCAGCAGCTTAGGGAGTGCAGTTGGTCGTCCTACTTTGTACGTCACTTTGGCAGGGGCTTTCGAGTGACGGATTGGGAACGGCGTGAGCGGTCCTTGCGGCAGCGCAGGAGGCGGTGGGATTGCAGCCGGATACTCGGTCCTATTTGCGGCTGTTGGCCCGCCCTTGCGCTGCCATCAAGTTTGATAGCCGCAGCGGCGAGGATCGTTGACTGTAACGGCACGGCAAATCCAGGATATACCGTCGCCTCTGAGAACCAAGTACCTAGGGCTGCACACACGACGTCAAAACAGTCTAATCTTGCCGGGAAAGGGGTCGGTGTCCCCCGGGGTCTCTCTACAGCACTAGTACGCACTAGTACGGTCCACTGGCTTCAGTACAGCTTTACAGAACAGCGCATGCGATGCAGCAGTCACTGAGGATCAGCATGGTTGTGTATGTTAAGAACCTGCCTGCATGCTGTAGCCACAGATGGGGGGAAGAAAATATTCGGATTTTTACATAAATCTTAAAAAGTGTCGTATATGTCTATATCAATTGATGGCCAACAAAACCACCCCGAGAAAGCAGATAGAAATCTGACACTAAATCAGCTAACCCAGCAACCCGTGGCTGGCAAATTCAAGTCTTCAGAATTAGACAGTACGAAAGCAGTTAACCCTCCGTAAATGAAACAATCCACCATGTACAGCAGGAACCTTCCCTTCTGTGCCGCTGCTGTGTCCCTCCGTGTACCTATCGCAAACCGACTGCCGCTTCTCTTCCGAAGAGAAATCCATAAAAACCGACATGCCTGATAACCAAACATGGCATACGGATTCACATGCTGCCTCCGCCAACCATCGCATGTACGATAATTCTCTCGGTAAAAAACAGCGCGCCCCCTCCCTCACACATAACAAACCTCGCAAATGGCAGGTGACACCGAGACCGCTCCAGTAAGCCCGGCTAGGTTACAAAACTCAAACCGAACGCCTCGTGGCAAATCAAGCACGCCGCCGCGGTGGGCTCCCCTCCCCCCCCCCCAGCACAATCTGCCGTTAGGTGTTTTGTACGCTCCTGCCCCCTTAGCTCTGCTGCCCTGCTGACAACCAAGACACACTACACACCTTCCTCATAGCTCGGGGGCCCAGATCATTAAAATTACACACCTCCCATGTGGACCCCACCCCACACGAACACAACAGACAAATGCCCCCAATCCCCGAGCACCTAGTTCCTACCCAGGTTCCGCCGTCCGTACTGTTCCGGCCCCGCAGTCCGCAATCCAGCACGCATAACCCACATCTCCACCCGTGCAGATGTCTCCACGCCACTGGCACGAGCCAAAGCAGAGCCGTCCCACGCTCTCGAAAGCAGCCGCTATACTAGGGAGTACTCAACCCTCTGAATCCCGACCGACACCCAGAGGCCGCAAAGGAAAGGTGCTACCCATCCACCTACCCGCTCACCCACCCACCTGCAGTACAGCAGCCCTAAGTCTACATATACACGACCCGCCCGCCCCAGCCCCGAGCCCCCTCCCTACCCAGCCGCACACTTATTCGAAACTACGGAAAAGCAGCTGAACCTGGTTCTCCAGATCAGATACGCGGGGCAGATCGACACGCAGCCGCCCCCCTTCCGCAGCGGTCATCGCCGTCACCGCAGGGCCACCCGCACCACCCGCAGCGCCACTCGTCGGCTCCAGAACCGCGCCAGGCGTGAAGCTGTAGCTCACCTCCGGCTGCAGCCTGGCACCATTGAGCAGTACGACATCCGGCTCACGACTGCAGTACGCCAGCAGATCCCCGTGCCCGCGAATCGTCGTGGTGAACACAAGCTCCTTCGCGCCGAAGCCGAACGGGGAAGAGGCGGCGCCAGTCCGGATGGAGCCGGCAGCCGCCCCCGTGGAAGACTCGTGACTTAGCTCCCGTACGGCACCTCCTCCGTTGATCATATTGGATAAGCCCAGTACGGCAATGGCGACGGGGCCGACGCGGGTGATTCGTGCCACACTCAGCACGTCTGCCTCACCGCTGTGTAGGGACACCTGAACAGGGGTAGTGAGGGAGGGGGCGGGGGGGGGGGGCGGGTTTGAAGGGGAGGGGAGAGAGAAGGGGAATGGAGATTGCAGAGCATCAGCGCAGGGGGAGGAGGCGTACGAAGAGTTGTACGATATCGCAGAATCGTGCGGAGCGGAACGACTCCTGGACAAGTTGTGGGAAGAGGAGCGCCATTGGGGTTTCGGAGCACACGTGTACGGGTATGTACGGCATTAAACTATTCGGGACCGGCTAGAATATTCGGCTGGGGAGGGGCGGGAGGACTGGGGCGGCGGGGACGTTCGGTATCGTACCTGTATTCCCTCGTTCCCGTGCAGCAGAGTCATGACTGCCGTACCCCGGGAAAACACCACGAACTCCCGAGGCGTGACGGGGGTGGGGGAGGGGGTGCCGGTGGATGGGGGCCGGAAGGAGTCCACGTCGTACGGCCGGACCTGCGGGCCGCAGCACACCCACCCAACCCATCATGACCGTACAGCTCATACCAAGGGGGGGGGGTACACGTCATCGTTCGTCCCCCATCAATGGTTGTGTCCGTTGATGACGACAGCAGGCGCACTCGTAGGCCTTATAAGTCCCTTACGGCGGTGCCGTACGGCTGTGCGCCATTGAAGCAGCGGTTTGCCATGGACACAGACACACACACACACACGCTGTGATGTCTTTCACTTCGGTAGATCTCCCTCAGCCCCCCCCCCGATCGAATTCACCGCCACCTACCCACTCACCCACTCACCTACACCTACACCTGCGCCACCCCTCTCCCCCCTTATTCCCCCTTTTCCCCCCCTCCCCAAAACCCCCAGGTACGGAGCGGCGGAGGCAAAGTACGGAGACCCCGCCCGTCCGCGCCCGGTATCCCTGGCACCCGGGCCACCTTCAGGTAGTTCTGCGCTGTCGTCATCACCCCACGTCATCCCGAGGACTGCTGCTTCACAACCGCCGACTGGTCAGTTCTGCTACCTGCACATCTGCCGCAGCAATCTTCCCTTGGCAGCACCTTCACTCGCTCGTGGTTCGTCTTTTTTTCCCCCCTTCGCCCCCCAACACCAATCCCCCAAACATACACACATACACGTACCTCCGTACTGAGCGGTTTCGGAGCCTTGTCGTGCACGTGGAACTTCCTCCTGGTTCTGTCCCACGAGCTACCCTGCAGATGGAACACCCCCACCACCCCGGTCACCGGGTTGCTGTTCCAAACCTGGGGGGGGGGAGGGGGGGGGAGGGGGTTGTGAGGGCGGGGGCGGGTAAGGGGGGGGAGGGGGACGGGGAGCACCACCACCTGCGTGCAAAGAGAGGGAAATCCAGCACCCGATACTCAGTTTCCCCTCTCACCCCCGATACACAGTAGCGGTCTCCACCCACCCCACTTCGTTCATTACATCTTCAGCACCCGGACCCCCCCCACACACACACCCACTCCCACCCGTCACCCCCCCCGCCCACCTTGAGCAGGCTCTTTCCGTCCCGCAGGACGTCAACAAACAAACAGTCCCGTGTGGGGCGGCCAGGCTGAGTACAGCGGAGTACGGAACCGTCCGGCAGTACGAGCGAGTGGAGTACGGAGAAGTCGTGTTCCCCGGGCTTGTCGGACACGTAAACCGGGCCGCCGGACACGGCCCTAGAGCCGTTGGGGGGTGGGGGAGGGGGAAGGGGAGGGGGAGGGGGAGGGGGGTTGGGGAGATGTGTACGTGGCAGTACGTGTGTTGGGGGGGTTTCGGGAAGGGGAAAAGGGGGAAAGGGGGAAAGACGAACCACGAACGAGGAGGGGGAGAGGGAGGGGCAGGTCTGAACGTGTTTCGACAAGCCGCCACGAAGAGAGATCTGGCCCTGCAGGATGTCTGCGTGTGCGTATGCGTGTGTGTTTTGACATGTTCACGTCACCCCTCTGCATTCTTCCCTTCGTGAACTCTGCGCCCTCCGGCCCCCCCCTCTAAAGGCCGACACCGGCCCCCTACCGCCCCCCTACCGCCCTAAACAGTACCAGCACCCCTTTCCTCCCCACCAACGTCCCCCTACCGCCCCCACCCACCCACCCCCCTCCCCCACCTGGCAGCCGCATGCAGTCTGGCGGCGGGGTGCTTGGAGTGGAACATGTCCCAATCGGGCTGCAGCAGGGCGCCCAGGAACAGCGAGTTGAAGGCGCATGCGGCGATGTGCGGGTGGCTGGAGGCCGGGTCGCGAGGGTAGAAGTCGTCACTGGCGCGAGCTACTGCCGTGGCGGTCATTCTGAAGGTGGGAGGAAGAAGAAGGG